ACTTTTAAAAGCATTACTTATGTCACTTGAAGAAGTGTAGTTACAGTCACCAACTTTAATGTTGCTTATTACATTGGTATGGGAATTTTTACCCATAAGCTCATTCACACCTTCCCATGTGTTTTTAATATCACCAAAGCTATTTCTAAAGTAATTGTGATAATATGCAACTTTGGCATCTTGTATACATCTGTTAACATTATTTCGTGCACTTCTGGATACTTGGACCAGTTACGTTCAGTATCATGTTTACTTGCTATTCTTTTCAGTCGGTCCCTCTCAAACATCAATTTCTTAAGTTCTGGGGTTAACCAAGGAGAGTGCTTATTTCGAATTTTTCTACTCCGATTGGGTGCATGAATATCAGATATTTTCAGGAATATAGTTTTCCAAGCATCCCAAGCAAGATTTGGATCATTTTCGTACTCCTCAACGATATGCCACGGGGCTAAGCTGAGATCATATCTAAATGAATTTGCGTTGAAATCTCTAAATTGCCTGCTGCGAATTATTCTAGGATCCTTTCTAGATACACAAAGTTTACGAATTGCATATACAAGTGAATGGTCACTGATACCAATGTGGCAAACTCCAGATTTCACATACATTGTTGGATTATTAGTAATAAATAAATCAATTGTAGTTGAAGAGCGTTCGGTTATTCGAGTAGGCTCTTTAATAAGTTGATGTAGGCTCTTTAACAAGTGGCTTTTATACTCGGACACTCAGAGGCTTTATGATTGCCCGCGGCGCAATTAAAACACAATCGTTTCTTGGCTAGTATCTGTTTACGGGCTGACGTCAGAGTTACTTTTGCGCAATCGTTTGTTTTGTGCTCGCCGCTATCGGCTACAACTAAAAAGCGATAAAGCGATACAGGAACCGGAACCTGGAACCGGAACCTGGAACCGTGCATAATTTATGCAAATTAGAGCATTTTGCACCACAGGAGATATACATGATACTAATTTACAGGGGGACGCAATTCAAAGATAGTATAAAATATTATATGCAAAGCATTTATTTTGATTTTTTCAGTAAACTAAAGCGGAAACAAAGAATGAACATCGTTGTAACTTGTAACACCATTTTACGAACTAGGAAGTAAAACATGCTTCGTAATTGCGCGGCGATTCTTTTTGTTTTGATATGACTGCATGTGACGCACTTAATTTATTTAGCCGACGCACTTGATTTTGTCTCACTCATTTCACGATCCCGTCGGAGGTGCCAGGTTTAGTAAATTGACCCTTACTAAAAGGTATTGGACAATCAAACTCTCGACGAAGCAAATTCGGTTTTATAAAAATATATTATTGAAAATCACTCACAGTTGTATACGCGGTCTAGTCTCTCTCACAGTCACACAGTCACTACATTCCTATCTTTTAACTCCTTTTGATAATAATCTAAATGTATCAATCATGCAATGTTCGTATATATATATATTTATAATATATATATATATATATATATATATATATATATATATATATATATATATATATATATATATATATATATATATATATATATATATATATATATATATATATATATATATATATATATATATTTATAATATAGCATTTGTAAATTCTGAACGCTGATTGGCTAAGAGCCGTGTTGATATAACTCAATGTCAACACGGGAAATTTTCCGCCGCTCGTAAACACGGAAATTTTTCTCATCTTTCGGGCTTTTGACATTGCTATATTATAAAAAAAATATAAAACATTTTTCCGTATTGATATATAGTTATATCAACACTCGTGGAAGTTGGGAAAACTCTAAATTGTATGAAAACACTCCGCCCTTCGGGCGTCGTGTTTCCATACAATTTCTCGTTTTCCCAATTCCACTCGTGTTGATATAACACGGAAAATGTTTTATATTTGTTAAATATATATATATATATCGACGGTCTCGGGTCCACAAAACACACTGTTTCCCTCGGTCTCAGTAAATAAGTGATAAATGTTGATGCCTTTGATGTTTGACGTGCAATACTCAAACATTTTTTCCACTGACAATCAGCCTCGTACCCAGGCGCAAATAACGTACTAAAAATAGCAACAGTACAGTGTTTTATATGGATCAGTGGCCCAAGCACCCCCGCGCGCTCGCTCAGCCACTGATCTATATAAAAACACTGTAGTGTTGCTATTTTTAATACGTTATTTGCGCCTGGCTGATACAAACATACTGTATTGTCACATACTGTATTGCTGATGACCACATACTGTATTGTCAGTCAGCCTCGTTATTTACGAGGCTGACTGACAATACAGTATGTGGTCATCTAATGGTCTTTACAGACTTGCTCTTGCAACGAACTGTACCTCCAATATCATCACGGGGATTTTCCACGACTGGTTGGAAAGAAAGTCCACCTTTAAGTTTTTGTACTGTCCAGCACAACTATCTGAAAGAATAGGGAGCTCTTTTCAGATACATCACAACTTCTGCTTGCACCTCATAAACAAAAGGAGTGTCATCCTTCATGTGGTATAGAGCACCTGAGTTTAGGGTACAACTGATTTTGTTCCAATGAAAACCTTGGATTTCATCCTGCGCCATAAAGTCGTAATTATTGGCGAAGTCCGACAAGGCAATGCATGTTTCAGACAAGTTGTTTTTTCGATCCTTCCGGTACCTTGCTTGACATTTTGCAATGTAATATGCACCATCAAGTTACTAATAGCATCAACAAGAAGTTACTGAAAGCTTATTGGCATCCATATCCAATAGATTCTCCGAAATCACACTTATTTAAAGTGGTCTCAATATCTGTTATAAAGATTCATTGTTATTATTCATTGTTATTATAAGGATTACGCAACTTTGGAACGCACGTGAACAATTTGATCACTGTGACGTATCACGTGAACATTTTTTGCCAGTAATTTATGAGTGTATTGTTTTTCGTATTTTGTGTACAATAAAATGTTTTGTGTGTATATTATCGAAGAAAAGGTCAAATTTATCGTAGAATTACTATTCATGACATGGCGCCCAACGTGGGGCATTAAGCCCAAGACCGTATAATCGATTTAAAATGTCTTTGGAAGCGAATACAAAGGAAAAATTTGACCGTTTACGAGCGAAGCGAGGAGGCCATCGTGGCGTGTGCACAAAGTTAGCAAAGGAAGCGGAAGAGGTTATCCAATCTCAAGACGAAGAAAATATCAATCGAAGCGAAGTTATTCATTCGTTACTGAGCGAGAAATTGAAAATACTTAACGAACTGGACGAAGAAATCCTTGGATTATGCGAAATTAAGGACATAGAAATCGAAATAGAAGAGTCATCGGAGATAGTGGCTCGCATATTAAACGCTACAAAGAAAATCGAGAAGTATAAACGAGGACATGGAAACGTAAACAAGGTCAGTAATCAAACGATTGTGAATTCGAGCGAGAATAGTGCTGTAAATACGAATGAAACGTCAAGTAATATTGAGCAAACAAGCGATAATTTGAATGAAACCAGTAACCAAGCAACAAGTCAATTACAAGGGGATCATAATGTAAACATATCGTCACATTATTCAAATACAACCGTGTCATCAAAACCAAAACTACCAAAGCTGACATTACCAAAGTTTAGAGGTCAAGTGACAATGTGGAATACATTTTGGGATTCATATGAATCAGCAATACATACAAACAATGATATTTCAACCATTGACAAATTCAATTACCTGAACTCTCTCTTAGAGGGTCCCGCATTACGAGCTATACAAGGACTTACATTAACAAATGCTAATTATGAGTCTGCCATCCAAATTCTCAAGGATCGTTTCGGTAAGCCGCAACAAATTGTAACAGCACACATGGACGAAATACTCAAGATCCAAGCTTGCACTAGCGATAAGTTATCTGCTTTAAGATTTGTATACGACAAGATCAGTGTACATGTACGCGGCTTGGCTTCCTTGGGTATCTCTTCAGAGCAATATGGAAGTTTATTAATACCCATAATCATGTCAAAAATGCCAAGCGATGTTAGATTACAAATCGCTCGAAAGTCAACTAAGGATGTTTGGGTAATCGATGAACTGCTTCAAACAATCAAAATCGAAATTGAGGCGCGTGAAGCTAGCGAGGCAACCAAGGCAACTGAGAACAGTTCACATAAATTTCCGAAATCGCAAGGTTCAGCAAAGGGATATAACCCCCCTACTGCTAGTAGTTTAGTAGCCAAAACAAAGGACGGTGGTAGTTTCAAAATACAATGTGTTTATTGTGAAGGGAGTCATTATTTGGCTTCATGTGACAAGGTTATTAGTTCTGAAGCACGTAAGAAAATTTTAGGAGAATCTGGTCGCTGTTTTAATTGTTTGTATAAAGGTCACCATGCCCGAGATTGTACCAACCAGAGAAGATGCCGTCATTGCTCAGGTAGACATCAGTCTATCTGCGCTCGAATCGATAAGCAAAAAAATAACGAAGCGACTAAACATGAAGATAATCAACCGGAAGTAAATTCGAATTTGACAGTGACTGCCACACGAGTATCTCAGGGAACTGTTTTATTACAAACAGCTCGGGCGGTTGCAACAAATGGTGAGAAATCAGTACCAGTGCGAGTACTATTTGACACTGGAAGTCAGCGGACCTACATCACTAATTCAGTTCAGAGACGGTTGAATTTAAAGCCCACATCGAGGGAAACACTTAATTTGAATACGTTTGGCAACAACAAATTCAAGCGAAAGGATTGTGATGTATATAAGCTTACTTTAGAAAGTAGAACCGATCGAGATAGCGTCGAAATTTCTGCCATTAATCTCCCCACTATTTGTTCTCCTGTACGAACAAGGGTTAACACAAGTTATGCACACTTAAGGGGACTGGAACTAGCAGACTACAACGAAGAGAGTAAGGATGATACTATTGATATCCTTATTGGGGCTGACCACTACTGGGATTTTATAACGGGAGACATTGTTTGAGGTGAAGGTGGGCCCACAGCCATTAGCAGTAAGCTAGGTTGGTTATTGTCGGGTCGCACAACTCAATCTTCATCCAACAACCATTCCAGCATGTCCAACCTCATTTTAGCTGGTGATCCATGCCAGAATTCTGCCATTCCAAATCGAAACGATGAAATTGTTGATTCACTAAAACGATTCTGGGACACTGAATCCATTGGGATCACTGATAACAAACAAGATTCCCACCAAGATGACAAATTTCTGCAAAACATCCAATTTACAGGTGAGCGTTACAAAGTGGGACTTCCATGGAAAGAAGAGCGTCCTATGCTAGACCACGACTATGATTTATGTTACAACCGACTGCGTTCGTTGTACAGCAAACTAAAGAAACAACCGGAACTACTTCAAGAATACGATAAGAGCATCAAAGATCAAATAGAATTGGGAATCATTGAGGAAGTACCTCGTGTGAATGGAAGCACAAGCAATAACCAAGACAACGATAATGTACATTATCTCCCACATCACGCTGTCGTGCGTGAAGATAAATCCACTACGAAATTACGTGTAGTATACGACGGTTCTGCTACTACCAAAGAACGGAACTATTCACTCAACGATTGCCTATATATTGGTCCTAACAATATTCCTCATTTATTCAACATACTCGTGAAGTTCAGATCCCATGCAGTTGGATTGGTTGCAGATATAGAAAAGGCATTCTTAATGGTGGGCATAGATCATGTGGACCGGGACATGCTACGTTTTCTTTGGCTTAAGAACATTCAGGAACCGATTCCAGAAATCATCGAGTTTCGATTTACCAGATTAGTCTTTGGATTAAGACCATCGCCTGCTATGTTGGGAGCTACGATTAATCATCACTTGAATTTATATGAAGACGAGAATCCTGATGCAGTCAAAGTATTAAAGAATGGCCTGTATGTCGATGATTTAGTTTCTGGGGCTCCGAGTGATGATGAAGCATTAGATATTTACAAGGGCACCAAAGGCATCATGCTAGCTGGTGGTTTCAATTTACGTAAGTGGGCTTCCAATTCGAATACTGTTGTTGAAACTATAACCCAGGCAGAGAGTAATATCGATTCAGACAACAAACCCTCGTCCCCAGCCATAGTACCCTCGTCCCCAGCCCTGATCGAAGTACCCTCGTCCCAAGTCGTGATCGAAGAACCCTCGTCCCCAGCCACGATCGAAGAACCCTCGTCCCCAGCCATAGTACCGTCGTCCCCAGCCATGATCGAAGTACCCTCGTCCCCAGCCGTGATTAAAGAACCCTCGTCCCCAATCGTAATGGAAGAAACCGAGTCCTACACTAAAACAACAATCGGTCAAGAAACCACTGTGACAAAGGATAAATGCGTCAAGGTACTTGGGGTCCTTTGGGACACTGAGAATGACACGTTTATGTTCGAATTTTCGAGTTTGGTTCAATATGCTCGTTCCTTGCCTGCGACGAAACGCTCTGTGCTAAAGGTTACTTCGAAAATCTTTGATCCTGTTGGATTTCTAACACCATTTGTCATCAAGATGAAAGCATTATTTCAAGAATTGTGTGTCGAAGGAAGTGAATGGGACGACGAACTCAAACATGGACTTCTAACCAAGTGGAACACAATATTAGTCGAGTTAAATACCTTAAATGATTTACGGATTCAACGATGTTATTTTAAATCTACAGAAAAGCCGATGAAGATACAGCTACATGGGTTTAGCGACGCCTCCAAAATCGCATATGCCGCAGCTATTTATATGAGATCTTTATACGAAAGTGGAAACATCGAAGTAAGACTCGTAGCTTCAAAATCGAAGGTGGCGCCGTTAAACGGACAAACGATTCCTACGCCTAGAACTGTTAGGTGGCAAGAGTAACAAAGCGCAACTTCTCCGAAGGTCGATTAGTCACCTGATTCCAATCGAAGTGAAGCAACCGCTTAGCGAGGTCAAGAATAAATCGGAAGCAACAATTAGCGAACCGCCTGTATCGTTAAATACTCGTCCACGTCGTATGGCGGCGGTCATCGGAGAGCTTAAAAGAGCCGAACAACTGAAACATATCTGAAAACTTAAGAAAACTTAACGTAATTACAGTAATGTATATATTCATATTTTATCGATTATTGTCAACATTGGGGAGTATTGTTGATCACTTGTACAGTGACTCAACGTTGGGGAGTGTTATAAAGATTCATTGTTATTATTCATTGTTATTATAAGGATTACGCAACTTTGGAACGCACGTGAACAATTTGATCACTGTGACGTATCACGTGAACATTTTTTGCCAGTAATTTATGAGTGTATTGTTTTACGTATTTTGTGTACAATAAAATGTTTTGTGTGTATATTATCGAAGAAAAGGTCAAATTTATCGTAGAATTACTATTCATAACAATATCCGTGAATTACTTAAAAGCTGCTTAAATTTGTTTGAATTTGAATCGCAATTAAATAATTTTAAATTCAGAAATAAACTTCGCAATCTTAAACCAAATATCCCTTTTGTTGCTCAAATTTTCAGATGTTCTGATATTTTGAATTATCAGTTTTATAATAGGTCATATTATATAATACCTTATTAAATTCTAATCATTTAATTGGCTGTTTATGGTCACGTGATATTGAATAGAAAATTCCATTTCCCAAGAGTGCAATGGAACACGTTCCAAAACGTATAGTACAATTGCAGTCTTGGTGTTTTCGATAAATCGCATCCCTCAAAATGCTTCTCATACGAATCTATTAGTCTATTTTGGTATTATATAAAACAAATAATGAATGTTTCTTCGTGCAATGGTAAGAATATTTTCATTCGGTGAAAGATGGAATGTTCCATTCAACTCGGCTGTCGCCTCGTTGAATGGAACATTCCATCTTTCACCTCATGAAAATATTCTTACCATTGCACGAAGAAACATTCATTATTTGTATAATATTTAATGGAAAAAAGTTGTACCGTACAGTAATGATGAACTATCAGCAGAAATAGCAAGGTTGCATAAGTATAAAAACATCAATTTAGGTACATATTTTAAAGTCGATGTAACTTTTGAGACCTAGAAGAACAATTGATGAAACTACCCTTAAACATGTGTACTTTAAGATGGTTATGTCAAATTTGCTGTGTCATGTTCGCCACATTCCAAAATTTACACTTGAAGTAGGTCGATGGTAATTTAACAAAAAAATTAATTTGAATGGCAATTACGGGTTTCCTATTCGCTGTATTCGATTGTTAGTATCATTTTTGAATTCTACAATATTAAATTGTATGCATCCCCAATTTTTATAAAAAAAACAGTAAATCGCCAAGGTTTTACAAACACTTTACTGATCTGCTACCCAAGATAATTTGTTTGAACCACGCCCATTTTTGACAAAAATCCTCAAAATATCAGTAAAATCCCGTAAATCGCCGAAAACTATTAAAGGTACAAGTCTGAAATTTTAGATTTTTACATGTCTCAAGATGATAAATATACCTCTAAATTTGAAAAACATGGCATGGTTCTACCCCCTGGATGAATTGACATGGAATTACCCTTACTGTAGGTTTTGCGTAAGCTCCTCACAGTTGGTTTCGTTATTGCTGATCGGCACATACAATGCGTTATTTTATGTATATTACGTTAAGCAGACCAAGAATGACAAACTATTAAAGAAATGCACGATGAGAGACAGAATGGGAAGAGACGATAGACGTTAGACAGACGGACCATAGACGAACAGACTATAGACGTTAGACAGACGGACGATAGACGAACAGACGATAGACGTTAGACAGACGGACGATAGACGTTAGACAAACAGACGATAGACGTTAGACAGACGGACGATATACATTAGACGAACAGACGATAGACGAACAGACGATAGACGAACAGACTATAGACGAACAGACGATAGACGAACAGACGATAGACGTTAGACGGACGATATAGACGTTAGACAGATAGACGTGAGCGATACTGTATCTTAGTAAATATCAAAATTTTAGGCGTCTCGTTTGATATACTGTAAAACTGAGTGTAAATGGATTTTTAGTAGTGGAATTTTCAAACGGAAATTTAAACACAATTCTTGACACAATTTAAGGTAAGAATTCTGAATACAAAAAATTCTTAATTCACACCCTGTATAAATACCAAGAGAGGCAAAATCCGCAAAACCTCATTAGGTCTGGTGTCACTGTATGCAGCTGACTGCTGGATGATGCGGTAAAAAGAAGGAGGGGAGAAGACTTTGTAGAGAAAGTTTGTGAAAAAGATGGCATGGATGGTTATATAAGAAGAGATGAATGAGAGACATTATGGAGCTAAATATGAAGAGCAACAGAGGAGCAGGGGAAACCTAGGAAGAGATAGATAGACTGTGTAGAAGATCTAAATATCAAGGGACTGACAGTGGATATAAATAAGATGTTCAATAAGGATGGAAGATGGAAAACTTAGCCACACCGGAACAGCTGAAAGAAACTGGAAGAAACATTTTTTGTATTTGTCGGGCAATAAAATGTATTTCAAGCAAATGTTTGTCCCTTCCCCCCTGTAATTTTTCCCTCCCGTACACCTATGACAAGAATAATAAGATCAATATTGTCGTGAACGTTTATACAGTTACATTTATAGATCAGTAGTGTTAATATTATTAAGGAAATGTACAATTTGATTGACACTTCGGATATAGTACATAACATGTGAGCGAGCGTTGACTTGAGAACGGAAATTATAACTTAAACAAAACGTGATATTATAAAGTCTTTACTTCTTCGAACCGATTGTGGGAACCAAACTAAACTTCACCACAAAGTGGTACCTTCGACCGGGATTATTTGGACTTATAACTTGTGAATTTATCGGGAATTTATCGAGAGTTTATCGGGGTTTGAGGAAGTATTTTGACTACAAAATCGAGCTATGGTGACGAGACAACAAAGTCAGCGAAGAGATCTTGAAGCCCAAGACGAACAGCAATCGGGTTTATCCAAGGAAACTGAGTCGAAACTGGTTAACTTACAGTCTTTACTACGGAAATTAGCATATTTTAACCGAGCAACAGACGAGATTTTGAGAGTGAATTCGAAAGAGGCGATAATACGACAACAAACAACGCTAAAAACCAAGGTAAGCGAAGCGTATGGTTTAATTGAGCTTATACAATGCTTGAAAATCGATGCAGGCGAATCTGACGAAACTATTGGCGAGTGGACAAGCGAAAATAATGGCAGATTACGTGAATATGAAGCGGCAATCGAAGAGTTAAATCGTAGGCTCTTAGACGAAGAGAAAACACAAAGGGAAATTGAGCGCCAAGAGAAAATTCGACAAGAAGTGGAAGCACGAGCTCTAATAAGACATGAGGAAGAACAGGCAGAATTTGAAAAGCGTGCAAGGGAAGAAAAGTTTGCATTATCTTTGGAAGAAAACAAGTTGGAAATTGCTTCTGCAAAACGGATCAAAACAAAATTACCTGATTTACAAATATCAAAATTTCAAGGAAGTCATTTGGACTGGGTGCGGTTCTGGGGTTTATTTGAGACCCAAATTGATAAAGCACCTATGAATGATGAAGCAAAGTTTGCATATTTGAAAGAGCATGTTGTATCTAAAGTTAGGGTTACAATCGATAAATTACCACTCAGCACCGAAGGGTATGCAAAAGCGAAAAAGATGTTAAAGGAACGGTATGGTGATACAAGTGAGGTGGTCAATGCACACATACAAGAAATTATTTCCCTACCTACCATTAATGGTACTTCAAAACAAAAGATACATAACTTTTATGACAATCTTGTCGGACACGTTCAAGCGCTTGAAACATTCGGAAAACTAGGCGATGTTGCGGGTAATGTAAGGATGACTTTGGATAAGTTGGAAGGGATTCGGGCTGACCTAACAAGAACCTCGCCAGAGTGGAAAAAGTGGACCTTCCATGAGTTGGTTGAAGCATTGCGACAATGGATTGAGCGAAACCCAATACAACAAAGTGAGAAAGATGCGAAGAAAGATGGATCACCATGGAAAGACGGTAGGAAAGATAGATTATTGTTAGCAAAGGAACAATCTAGACAGTGTGTGTATTGTGAAAGCAAAAGTCACAGATCGGTAGAGTGCGATAAAGTTGTGAGTGCAAGTGACCGAAAGAAAGTGTTAAGCAGCAAGCATCTGTGTTTTAATTGCACAGGCGAGAAGCATAGAGCAAGTGATTGTAGAAGTAGGATCCAGTGTTATAACTGCAAGCGAAGACACCATACTTCTATTTGTGATAAACTAGAAGATGGTCAAAAGCTGATGTGCCAACCCAATGGAAATGATGTTGTTTATCCAGTTGTTGTAGTCGAGATTGAAGGAGTTAAGTGTCGAGCACTTTTAGATACTGGATCTGGGAGCTCTTTCGCGTCAAGTACGTTATTGAATACAATTGGAAAAAAGCCAGTGAGACAGGAATTTAAATCAATTGAGATGATGTTCCAAACTACAACAAGGAAAATTGATGTGTACGAAGTCGAGATTGCAGATGTTGAGGGAAAATTCAAGATGCCATGTGAGTTGAACCGGATCGAGAAGGATGTGCTAATGACTTTGCCAAACCCCAGGTACAAGGAACTTATTAAATCTTATGAACATCTTCGAGGAGTCCATATGAATGACGGAGACGAGAAAGCACTTCTACCTGTTCACCTTATCTTAGGAGCCAGTGATATGTCCAGAGTCAAGACATCAGAACCAGCCAGGGTTGGAGACGATGGGATGCCAGTTGCCGAGAAAACCGCGTTGGGATGGACCATCATGTCACCGGGACGAGAGATGAATCATTCCTTCCTGATGTTCACCAAAAGCTCTCAAGAAGACTACATGCATCTTTGCAGCTTGGATGTGCTAGGATTAGAAGACCGTGCCGAAGGAGATCAAGGAAGCGTTTATCAGGAGTTTAAGGAACAGCTTACTAAGCGAGAAGACGGTCGATACGAAACGTCATTACCATGGAAGGCTAATCATCCAGAGCTTCCGACCAATTACCATGTTGCTAAGCGGAGATTTCAGTCATTATTCAACCGGCTTGATAAACAACCAGAACTGCTAGAGACTTACCACAGTATCATAGAGAATCAACTTGAGGAAGGAGTCATTGAAGTCGCACCAGAGAAAGCAGAGAGAAGCCGAGAGCATTATATCCCACACAAGCCTGTAGTACGAGAGCATGCCGAGTCTACGAAAGTAAGAATTGTTTACGATGCTTCGGCAAAAGCTGATGAAAAATCACCTTCGTTGAATGATTGCTTGGACATTGGTCCCCCACTCCAAAGGCGAATCCTAGATATACTATTACGCAGTCGAATGAGACCAATTCTCTTGGCTGGTGACATAAAACAAGCATTCCTACAAATTGTGATCAGGGAGATCGAGCGAGATGTAATGAGATTTTTATGGATAAATGATCTACAACGCAAAGAGATGATGGTCTATCGCATGACCAGAGCGATGTTTGGGCTAGGCCCAAGTCCATTTCTACTCGGAGGAACTTTGAATGTTCACCTCGAGAAGTATGTACAGCAATATCCACAGTGTGTTGAAGAATTGTCCGAAGGAACTTATGTTGATGATATAAACATTGGAGGTGACACAGTTGAAGAGACTAAAGTACTCAAAGAGCAGGCAAAAGAGATTCTTAGTGAGGGAAGTTTTATGTTGCACAAATGGCATTCTAATGCGGTGGAGTTAGAGAGTGACATCGTGGAAGACGGCGAATCTACTTATGCCAAAGAAACTTTAGGAACTAAACCATCTGATACTAAACTGCTGGGGTTGGGATGGAACAAGAAGGAAGATACTTTGTTTGTATCACTACCGAAACAGAATGTAGAAATGACCAAACGAACAGTCCTTCAAACAATGGCGAAACTGTATGATCCTCTGGGTATAGCTGCTCCGTATTTACTCACGGCGAAAGTAATCTTCCGGGACGTTTGCGATCGGAAACTTGGATGGGACGTTGAGCTGCCCAAAGATCTTAAAAGCCGATGGGAGAGATGGTTAGACAGTCTGCCAAGTGTGTTAACCTTCCCAAGAAGCATTCCTCGAGAGAGAGCATCAATTACCGAGATTCACATTCATGGGTTTGCCGATGCCAGCATTCTGGGATGTTGTGCTGTTATCTATGTAGTGGCAAAGCAGGGTGAACTAGTTTCTCGAGGTCTGCTGGTATCCAAAGCACGGTTGGCGAAACGCGATTTAACAATTCCTAGATTGGAACTTGTCAGCTGTCATATGGTCAGCAACCTTATCCACAATACCAAAAAAGTTCTTAGTTATCTTCCAGTGATGGGTGTTTATGCGTGGACTGATTCAACCGTTTGTCTACAGTGGATTAACGGACAGGGTAACTACAAGCAATTTGTGTCGAATCGCGTGAAAAAGATTAACGAGGAGAAAATTGAGTGGAGATATGTTCCAACTCAACAGAACCCTGCGGATATCGGTAGTCGAGGTACAACGAGAGATCTACAAGTCAACGAAACCTGGATGAACGGTCCTGGTTGGTTAAGTGAGCCTGCGAAATGGCCGGAGCAATTACAGATCAAACCCAGCGAAAAATCTGAATTCGAAAGTCGAATGGTTAAAGAAGTGATGAAAGTTACCATTCCGAAAAAAGCTGATTTTGTCGATAGTCTGTTAGAGAAATTCCAGCTGTCAAAAACAGTACGAGTTTTAGCATGGGTCAAGAGATTTATTGACAACCTGGTGTATGGCAAGAAAGTCAATGGGCCATTGGCAACCGAAGAAATGCAGAAGCAGATGCAGTTCCTGATTAAACGAGCACAATCTGAAAGCGAAATACTTGAGAACTTCAAATATGATTCCACCAGATTAAATCTTCAAAAGAACGATGAAGGAATATACGTCTGTAAAGGAAGAATCCAAGGCGAATATCCTGTGTATCTCCCAGCAAAACATGTTTTATCCGAAATGGTTGTAAAGCAAGCCCACGCGAAGACTCTGCATGGGGGAGTTGGTCTGATTATGAGCAAAGTTCGTGAAGAATACTGGATTCCAAAGCTACGAACTCTAGCTAAGAAAGTCCTCAGCCATTGTTATGGATGTAAGCGGTTCCACACAGCACCAGAACCTAGCCCACCTCAAGGTAATCTCCCGAAAGAAAGAACCGAAGGCATGACGCCATTTGATGTAGTAGGTGTGGATTACGCTGGACCTATTTATTACCGCAGCAAGAAGAATGAAGATAAGTCGTACATCCTCATCTACACATGTTCCTTAACACGAGGACTCCACCTGGAACTTTTACCGAATTTAAGTTGCGAAGAGTTTCTGGCAAGTTTCAAGAGGTTCGTTGCAGTCCGAGGACGACCGAAGAAGATGATCTCAGATAATGGGAAAACTTTTCATGCAGCGTCAAAGTGGATTAAGAAAGCAACCCGAGATGAAAAGTTCCACGCGTTTCTGCAAGATCATAAAATCCAGTGGCAGTTTAACTTAAGCAAGGCCAGCTGGTGGGGCGGCTTGTTTGAAAGAATGGTTGGACTGATGAAGAATTCGCTTTACAAAGTTGTTGGTTCAGCTAAACTCACTTACAAAGAGTTGCAAGATGTATTATTGGACATACAAATAGTACTGAATAACCGCCCTTTAACGTATTGTGAAGATGACGTGCAACTTCCGGTTCTCACACCAAACCTCCTGATATTGGGAAAAGCAAATTATCTATTAGAGTTGCCTGTCGAAGAAATTGAAGAAGACGATCTACGAAGGAGAGCAAAACATTTAAAGAAGTGTAAAGATGCGTTATGGCGTCGTTGGCGAAATGAATACATGAGAGCACTTCGAGAGAGACACGATTTACGACACCACGGGAAAAGCGCACGATTGCAAGAAGGCGATGTAGTTCTTATCAAGGGCGATGAAAAGAACCGAGGCAAGTGGAAGATTGGAATCGTGGACAAACTAATACCTGGAAGAGATGAAATCGTGAGAGCGGTGAGACTGCGTGCAGGAAAGAGTTACCTCGAAAGACCTATTCAGTTTCTATATCCAATGGAGTTACACTGTGAAGCGAAGAAACAAAATCAAGGAGAACTGAATCCCGAAGCCAGAGAGTTTAGACCGAAACGAAGAGCAGCGGTTGAAGCATTAAGGAATATTCATCAGATGCAGGAGACTGAAGAGGACGGTGACTAATAACTTTGCATGGGTATAAGTAAAACTGTAAGTGACTTGATAAAGCGAACAACAGTTAGTCAAACTTAGTCAGTTTATATTTCAAATAAGGATTATTTAAAATAGGGGGAGTGTGTCGTGAACGTTTATACAGTTACATTTATAGATCAGTAGTGTTAATATTATTAAGGAAATGTACAATTTGATTGACACTTCGGATATAGTACATAACATGTGAGCGAGCGTTGACTTGAGAACGGGAATTATAACTTAAACAAAACGTGATATTATACAGTCTTTACTTCTTCGAACCGATTGTGGGAACCAAAATAAACTTCACCACAATATTATTAATACAAGATTTTATAATTTCCTAGTTCTACAGCCTACAGTATACTAGCAACAGGGATGTTCCCACTCTTCGTACAGGAATTTTGTCAAGGGCTGCAAATTCAATATCTTTACAGCATGTTAAGTTCCTACTGCTATATTGCACAAACATTGAAATTAATTCCATCATTTGTGAATCCATGCATAGTCAACTAGCCCTTCGAAAGAGTTCCGTTAGAATTGCAAGCAGTGAATTAAGAACTACAAGGCAAAATGTTATTTAACGTCTTATTAGGAATATGTCCATCTTTTGTTATTCTGATTGATTCAAGAATGGTATGGATTCAAGTCAATATTGTTCTCAAGATTGCAACTTATTGCACCAGATTCTTTGGGCTTCCTATCTTCAGACATATAGTCAAATAAAACGAGAGGCTGTATACACTTCTTTCGAGCCTGGCTACCCATGTGACGCATGCAAGAGAGTGCAAGTGGCTTTAGGAAATAGACGTTAACCTTTCAAGAGACTGGCTCTAAACCTTTTAATAATTTACCAATCACACGTAATATAGATTAAAGTTTTAATTAATTTTTCCCCAATGAAACTTATAATGTACATTGCTGAAACGAGCACCTTCTTAGCTATTCAGCTACGGCTATACCAACAACAGGAATATTTCCATCTTTAGTAATTCTGACAGTCAACGTATGGTTCCCAGACGTTACTCCTGCAGCCACTGCTACCACTACTGTCTGGCGGTTTCTATTTTTAGGATATATCCTAATACGTTTTTCTATATCGTTATCCAACCAAACCTCTAGTTCTCCGCTGTCACGATTGCTACGAGTAAATATACTGACTGATGAGTGATCTGGAGCCTCAAACGAGAATGTAATTTCAGAACCTTTCTTCGTCCCACACCAGCAACTGAAACAGTCAGTCCGATATGCCTTACCACGATGACGAGGGCTTAGTATTGGTACCTGTTCTGTGTAATCGAATCCTTTTCTTTTCAAAACAGAAACTTTTAAAGTGTTCCTTATCATATACTTTTTATCTGGTGCAAGTCCTGTCCAACATAAAGGATTTTTAATAACACTGGATATGGGTTTGATGTACTTCGCAGGAGGAATCGGTTCATGTATGGATACATTGGATGTTGCGGTACAATCATAGATAGTTTTGTTTGTGAGCACGTGACTGTCATTAAGCAGTTTCCTTATTGATTTTCTAATCACCTGAATGATCATGAAAGTGGTTTGCGCATGCCCCAATAAACTCATATGATACTTATCTTTGGTTTGATATTTAGCCGTCTTCGCTGTAATGTGGAACTTTCCCGATTTAAACTCACAAGCGAGATTTCGTAGATCAAATGTAGTGATATTATAGTGATTAGATACAAGGGATTGCCCAAGGTTTATGAGATTAAAACAACCACGTCGTGTTTTCGTTGTAAGAAAGAAGTTTACAAACATCACTGCAGGGTTATTAGGGTCATTCAGTAGTTGTCGTGTAAATTGTTCTAATGGCAAACTTTGATTGATGTTGGTCGAATGTTTGAATCTTAGTGCTACTCCGTCGTTGACTGATGAATCTAGTATTACGAGATCAATGTTATTATGATGTAGATAAACTTTATAGCAAAACTGATAGTAACTGCTTGATGTTCCACCAATACCAATGATTTTGATATTCAAACGCGATCCAGTCGCTGGTGTGATTACGCTATCCCACCAGCTTTGTAATATAATAGGAAACCTTCCTTTTATACTCTTTTCATCCTCCTGTAGACCCCCGCCAGCAGTGTTTGATCCCCCATAAACAACCACATTAACTGTCTTTCCTTGTAGAACTTTCTCTGTAGTCTTTTGCAATCGTTCGTTATTCTCGTGTTTAATAACAGACCAGAAATTGTTCTTGTCCAAATGCAGATCTCGTAATGAAGAAAAACGTTTCTTTAACGGCCAGGTAGATAATACATCTTCCTGTAAGGCTTGTTGAAGTAATATCATGTTCTTAACATTACACTTCAAGGACTTTGACGACTTATTTTCTGAATCTGGTTTAGTGGTTTCAGACATTTGACTGACAAGAAAAACAGAAAATAAACATATTACTTGATATAACTTTGACTTTGCCATGATATCGTAAATATTAAAATATAAAGATTGAAACTATATGCTTTGTTTAGTAGGCAGTATTGTTGGTTATGAATTTGTTTGTAGTAATTAATATGTGTCAATATGTGTTAGCTAATGAGAAACCATGACTACATGAATGTGGCAACATGTGAGCAATTGTTTGAAGTTTATCTGCCATAAAATTGGGATAATGCTGCACCTGTATGCCTGTCATGATCAATCATAAGTAGTCCGGTTTTCTTTGTGAAACATAAATATAGGACCCACTTTATTTAAATCAGAAACCAATTTTTTGCTGTGACTCAAATTTTTTTATTAAAATAATTTTTTCAGCAAAATATGCATGGGCGAGTTTCTTATTTCAAAATTACTTAAATAAACCACTTTCAGTATATGAAATAACTTTTTCAAAAAGCTGAGTATTTAAGTAGAATTAAATTTAAATAAATTATTGTGAAATTCAACGTTAAAAATGACTTTGTACGCCATTATACCATTGTATCATGCAAGATATCGATGAGGTGTTTGTTTGGCTCATGAAATATAATTTATATCTAATAATCTTTGTCAAATTTAACAGATTAGTTCCAAACAATGGTCCCATCATAGATATCTTATATACACTAGATAGCGCATCTCTATTAGTAAAATTGAAGCCAAGAATATTCCAGCGGTTACCCCCATTTGAATAGATGGCGGCCATGTTGGAGTTTCCCACTCGCTAATAAACGCTTAAAACAACAACAATAACTTTCATCATTTGAATAGTTTGAAAATGTATTTGGAATAGGTTTAACTTAATGTTTAAGTTCCCTGTTTAAGAAATAGAAAACATACGAGTCTTCTCATTTCATGGGAATATCCTGAGTCTGCAATCACGGCTTCAATTTTTGAATTGCAGAATAATTAGATACACTATCTAGTGTATATAAGATATCTATGGGTCCCATGCACAGAGCTTGTTTCTCCAACACAAGTTACGCGATAAACAAACACGAAATAAAATATTGCTTGCAAATTATTAATTGACATGTATTTACAGAAAGATTACCCGTAGATAACAAATTGATCGCCAAATTGTATTCTTAGCCCGCGTGCAGGCCCAAGGAAGTTTCCTTGGGCCTGCACGCGGGCTAGTTGTATTCTATGCACGAAGTGGTCATGCGCATGAAGTGGTCATGCTGCGAGATTATTTTCGTGGTGTTTCGGTTTGTTCGGAATATGCTTCACTCATGCAAAAATTGTCCGATTTTATTTTTGGCGATTGCTTGACTTTGATTCTGGTACTTCATCAGCCTCCTTCGTAGGCAACACTGTGAAATAAGCGAAACCACATTCACCAATTCTTCCTCACGATACCCTATTGTCACCCACTTGCTCTGCCAATTATTGCCTTATTCCACCGTTAGTAATTCAATTTATAAAATATATAGGTAAAGTTAAATAACATGCATGCAATAATTGCGATTACTAAAATATTTGAAAATGTTAACAAAATTATATGAATTATTTATATATGAATTATTTTCTAAATAAAATTTCTATCTATCTATCTTTTCCTTACGGGCATCTTGCAATTACTATATTTTTGGTTTTGCACAGAAAACTGTATAAAGATAGTTGATATATATAGAGTTGTATATAGTTGATATTTAACAAATATAAAACATTTTCCGTGTTGATATATATAGGTTATCATATAAGGGATGAGGTGATATCAGTTTTATCGCTCGAGGGATGATATCACAATTGTCACGAGCGAGCGCAGCGAGCGAGGGACAATTGTGATATCGTCTGTATTATCGTTCTTGTTTTCTTCGATAAACTCTCGACATCAACCAACACGAACCTCGAATCGGCCATCTTTGTTTTGACAAGGCGCGAAATTTAGCGGGACAAAAAAACGATATCCGGGACAAAAAACGATATCCGGGACGATATCGTTTTTATGTCCCGCTGCTTCCTACCTGATAAAGGTACAAGTATGTGATAAACAGTTATATCAACACGAGTGGAATTGGGAAAACGAGAAATTGTATGGAAACACGACGCCCGAAGGGCGGAGTGTTTTCATACAATTTCGAGTTTTCCCAACTTCCACGAGTGTTGATATAACTATATATCAATACGGAAAAAATGTTTTATTTTTTTTTATAATATAGCAATGTCAAAAGCCCGAAGGATAAGAAAAATTTCCGTGTTTACCGGCAGAAATTTCCCGTGTTGACATCGAGTTATATCAACACGGCTCTTAGCCAATCAGCGTTCAGAATTTACAAATGCTATATATTATAAACAATAATATTCAACCAAACAAACCTGGTCCTCGTCTTTTACGACAGCAGTAAGAGTCATTACGAGGTCGCACTATGATGCATGAGCGCTAGTTCTCTTTTAAATAATTTGCACTTATACAATCTTTGTTTACGACGCAAAAAGATTAAGGAATTATGTTTAATTAAAATACTCAATGGTGATGCACCATCTTACCTACAAAATCTTTTCTCTGTTCACGGCAGTGAGTACAACTTAAGAAACTCTGGGATAAAGCTAAATTTGCCCAAGCCACGAACAAATTATTTAAAACGAAGCCTTTGTTATGGTGGAGTTTTTTTTTGGATGCAAGTTCGATCCAAAAAAACAATTATTGGACGCTGATGACGTCATCGGCGGAAAATACGTAATATTAAAATGCCGAATACTGAAAATTAGCCTGTGCTTTCTGACCAACTTGAAACGAGAATACATATTAAATGTATAATAATGTATTTTATTGTAGTGTATTGCAAATGGAATGCGTTTTCTGTTAGGTTATTTTCTGAGCAGTATATAACTCAATAAATGATTCAATAACAGTGACGTATTTTGGTGTTATATTCATACACGCAATGGTACTGTAAGAATATTTTCATTCACTTAAAGATTGGCTGCAAATAGAAGAGCGCCATCTTCAGCTAATAAAAATATTCTTCACTACAAAACTCATAAACATTCCGCAAGTCTCTAATGTTGGCCTTGAATTTCACAGCATGCAATAACGGCGGCCATTGCCATTGGCCATTGATGTCCTACTTGTTGGCCGTTTCATCCTTGTATTTATCCTTGTAGTTTTATACTAATATTCACAGGCAGTAATGGCCTGCCCTCATGCAACCTCGTACAAAATGGTAAAATGAGTTGTTGAATATTTTTTCTGCTATTGAGTTTTATGAATACTATAATATTGATACTAGTATTTTCAGTATGTGGTGTTTCAAATAGCAACTGAATGGAAGTTTCAAACTGGTCTTCATGCTGTTTATGCTGCCCTGAAACCATTTGTGACATTCAAGACCAAGCTGCCTTGCCTTTTCATTTGTCAAATACGAAGGCCGCTACTGTATGTAAGACAATTTATTATGGTTAAAAACATTGAGCTCAGAAATGGATGGAAACTCCACAGAGTATTTCTGATAGCACCTAGGCCTGTATTCTAACTAGTAGCTGGTGAGTATATGGCAGTAACAAAAACTGCAAAATTATTCCTCATGCAGGGCCATTACCAGGGCAGGGTTGCCAGATGAATAACTGAGCCAAATGTTATTATCATAACCTTTTGTTTTCTTTGTTCGAAACAAAGACATCAAAGGGCCGTTTATAATAATGTTTGGCTTATTTATTCAGCAACCTGGCAACCCTGCACTGACCAGGGGGGTGTTGGGGGTGATGGAAACCCCTCCAAACTAAAGATTACAATACATTCAAAACAGAATACCAACTAGAAAAATATCTTTAAACAATAGAAAACTCCAGCTTAAAGGAAAACACTCACACGATTTCGAGTGAGCAACAGCTATCAAAGGGAAGAACGACTGTGTAAAATGTGCCAGTCAGGGGAAGTGGAAGATGAACACCACTTTGCCAATTCATGTGAAGCCTACATCAATCAAAGAGAGAACTTTTAAACCACTTTCAGTCTCAGAAACAATTTCACCATTGTCACAGACCAGACACAATTAGTAGATATACTGAAATCTACAGAACATGGGATTATTTTATCTCTGTCGAAATATATTTTTTCCTGTTTTATGGAAAGAAGTCCATGCCTTGAAATTGGGATTGCTGTCAACTAATTAAAGTACTATTTCTCTAATCTGAGAAAGTTAAATGAAAACGTTTCCTATATCTTGCAAATACATCTTCTTGTTTGTTATTTGTTATTTGTTATTGGGATTGACTATAATTATCGTAATGTATGTACTTCTTACCACTTGTAGAAAGAACTTAGAATTTCTACCTTTTATACTCTGTATTTTAGATTATTATTGATTACTATGCTTTAGCAATACCTGAAATTTAAGGTCATGTCAATAAAGTTATTATAAAGCTAACCAAACCACATGCAGGACCATCACTAGGCGGAGGTGTTGTCCGTTAAACAAACAACGGTACATTGATGCAAAAGAAAAGAAAAAAATATCGGAAAATATTTTTATGTTGAGCCTAATTAAGCCCCCCTTGTCAGCAAATATAATACCATAATAATAATTTGTTACCCTCATCATTTCTCAATAAGTATTGCATTTGCATAGTTCTGCCTTTGGCCGACGACTCGCCTGTGGAGGAGGCTCTTGTACAATTCTGTTAAATGCAACTGATCTGCATGACAATTAATATTCATCCCAAAATAGGAAAATTTCCTTAAATTTGACATAGCTGGTATGTTATTTTCATCAGAACCTTGTAATTTTGGCACACCTGTCAGTGATAATACTGTATGCTGAAGTCAGAAGAACCCACTAGATATTCAGGGCATACCCTCTCCCCCAGATAATTTTGATAATTTTGAACGCAATTAAGCGGACCCAAATGAACCACTTAGCAGGATAAAGAATTACACACAAGCAAGTATTTATACAGGAGTCACATTTTGGGACCAAACTAGCCAATAGTGATCAGAGTAGGAGGTTGTTAATTAATGTGGTGCCAAAGGTATCACTCCCCTTGGGGGAGGGGACGACACTGCATGTCTCCCTGTGAAATAAAAACCTTCTGAAATGGCATTTCCAAAAATATTTCGATCATCCAAATTTGTTATCAAAACAAAAAACCTTTCCCTTTACATTTCTGGGGTTAGGAGGGAATATTTAGGATTATAATTTTGGAAAATACATGTAGCCAGCGATTGTCAATGCTGCCATCCATAGGCGTATGGGGCGGGCAGCTGCCCCCAGTCAAAATGAAGTTGGACGAATTATAAACGATAGTCGGGCAAAAATTGGAAAAACTTTAAAAAGATGACATATGCAATATAGTAGTTGAAATTACAAGAATTATGTAACATTAACGATGAATTTTGACAGATTAGGAAAACAATTTTTTGTCAACCTCCCCTCTCCCTTCCCCCCAACAACAATTTTGGACAGTTTACACAGAAACATTTTTTCAGTTAAGTTGGGCAGGTTGTGGATAAGTCGGGTAGATTTCTCTCCACCCCCCTAATTTTTCCCTTCCCATACACCCATTGTGCCATCTTCTATTCATTGGGAACCTGTGGGGCACATTTCCGAAATCTAAATTATGGATTTTAACTCATGTGGTGCAGGAACTGTCAGGAGCTGGGGGGACATGGTACTTTTTTCACTGGTCAAGGTAATTATATATATATATAATTACCTTGTGTATATATATATATATATATATATATATATATATATATATATATATATATATATATATATATATATATATATATATATATATATATATATATAAATTTTCTGCGTTGATATACAGTTATATCAACACGAGTGGAAATTGGGAAACGAGAAATTGTGTGGAAACACGACGCCCGAAGGGTGGAGTGTTTTCACACAATTTCGAGTTAAACAAGAAATTGTGTGGAAACACAACACCCGAAGGGCGGAGTGTTTTCACACAATTTTGAATTTTCACAATTTCCACAAGTGTTGATATAACTGAATATCGGTACGGAAAAAATGTTTTATATTTGTTTTACAATGTAGCACAAAGAAACATAAAGAAAGAAATTTTCCGACGTTTCTGTGTTGACATTGAGTCATATCAACACGGCTCTTAATTTACAAATGCTATATTATAAATATATATATATATATATATAACATTGACCTTTCGAAGGTCGTAGGTTCAAAACCCAGCCATGGCAGGCAATATCTTTCTGCTTGTGGACGGTCTGGAAATTATGAAATACACAATCGAGAACATTTTCAAAATAGCGGCCAATTTTATATCCCGACTCCACTGGCACTGCTCATAAATATTTCACCTAGATTTCCTTGTTTCACATATATTTTTGTTAAAAACAAAACATTACGGCGGCCCAGACGCGACAGCAAAAAAACAGTTTTTGTATTTTTAGATTTTTTGATTTTTGTATTTTTTGATTTTTGTATTTTTTGTATTTTTTGATTTTTGTATTTTTTTATTTTTGTATTTTTTTATTTTTTATTTTTGGATTGATTTTTTTTCAGTATAGATATACATACTGTAGCATTTGAATGAGCGGGCAAGGTTACTGATAATGGGTATATATAACATGATCGAAGCTGTGTAACACAAAATTAAGGTTAAGGGTTAGGTGCCGCGAATTTGGCATTTATCATGTTGATAAATTCGGACGCGTTTAACAATTTACTCGTATAGTAAAATTCAAATGTGGAACTCATGCTGTAAATTACACTATACGTATAATCTTGATCAAAAAATTTTCACGACATATGGCGCCGGACAAATTAAATGGTTCATTTGGTGCCGGAAAAAATTTTGCGGACATAAAATCGTTTATTTTTTGCCGACAATTTTCTTAATTTTTTGAGATTTTTAGATGTATTATTCATCTGGGTACTGGGATTTATATTCTGAGTTCATCAATCTTGCATCAATACATTTTAAGGGTCCCTTGTTTTGCGAGCCCCGCCCGAGATAAAGTTCCACTCTGCCTCTCTCCCGGCGATCCTGCATGCAGTAGATGGAAATTTATAACGAAAGATTCAATATATACAATTTTAGACTTAACTACAGACTTAACTACAGGAGCAGCTGCGAAAATGCTGTCAACTGACAGGAATCGAACCTGTGGCTAAATATAGAGATTTTTGGGAATATGACGCTGTAAATCTGAATTTGCGCTTGGGATTTTTCTTGAAATTTGTGCTTGAAATTTCCATCCTACATAAATCTTTCAATCTGTTCATATTTTATATAATGGCATCACCTGTACTATATACTGTATATAAAAAAGAACTTGTGGTTGGAGCTCGACAACTGAACTCTATAACTCAGTTGGTTAGAGCACTGCAACGGAATTGCGGGTCGTAGGTTCGATTCCTGCTATAGTTCTATTTTCCGCAGCTGGTTATAGATCTAAATTAAATATATATGAATCTTCCACTCGAAATGTTCATCTACATAAAGCCTTCAATCTCGGGATCAAGTGGTCTTAGAATCAGGGGCGTAGGAAGAGGGGGGCAGTGGGAGCGCGTGCCCTCCCTCCCAAATTGTTTCAAAGGACGAAAAGTGTCCCTTTTTGTGATGAAAAGTGCCCTTTTTGTACAAGCTAATGTCTCTGTAAATACTAAATTAACATCAAAGGTGCCCTTCTTGTTTAGAGATTTCGATGTTTTTTTAAAAAAATTTGGTCAAAAACGTGCCATTGCGTTATGGTATTACGGGAAAACTTTTCTTAAGCTACTAGTTGTCCAATCGACGTGTGTGGTGCACCGCATTCTGGTTTAGAATACTTTATTGTACATATATCAAGTTTATACTACAATATATATACATGATCACTGTTTAGGGAAATTACATTTATTATGCCGAGGGGGGGGGGGGCAGATGGATATGTCTTGAAAAAAAGCTCATATTTTTACAGGGCCCCTGTTGAGATTATTGGTAAATTTCCGATGCCCCCCTCCAAGTTTCTAAAATTTTCAATGCCCCCCCGCTCCAGAATTCGGAATTGAAGCAGTACAATCCGGAATTCTCCCTTATCGTAGGCATCATATATACAATTTGCAGCTCCTCAAGATGTCTGATATACTCAAGCATGTACTTCTCCTCAACTAAAATACCGACCTACTGCTTCTTTCACCTCACTAGCGCCAGATTAAATGGCACCCTTTTTAAAAAAAAACATTTTAGATTGGTGCCAAAAAAATTTAAGTGAGCTATAGGTGATTTCATGTATCCATTTATAAAAGAGCAGACTAAGGATATCTTGAAACTGAAATCGGTTTCGAAAACAACCATCAGGGACCTAGCAAAGCATCTGACGTTTGGGAGAGGGGGGATGTTGGGGGATTATACATGTAATAATAATAATAAAGCTTTTTGTGATTGATTGGCACTCTCATATTAAGTTTCGGGAGAAAAGAGGGGTTTGGGGGTCCTCCCCCACAAAATGTTTACATTCTACGACTTAATTTCTGGCGTGTTTTAAAGCAAATTCGCAAACAAATTTCATGCAAATTGACTGTATTTTACAAAAATGGTTATCATTCACAAAAATAATTACTTTATTATGCAAATTTTACCTGAAAATGTCAAAATTTTAACTTGAATTTTACATATATTTGCCTGAATTTCACAGTAGGGGGAGTTTTCAAACCATCTATTCCATTAACTATGTGGGAGTGATACTCCAGGCCCCTGCTGGACCACAACTTTGAAAAGTTTAGAGCTCCCCCCACCGTCAGTATATCGAGCCCCCCGTTTAATGCCAGATTGCCAGAGAATATTTCGATGCCCCCTTAACATCTTCACCCCCCCCCCACCCCTCAGCATAATAAATGTACTCCCTTATTTATTTATTTATACACTAATACTCTTGTCCAGACTTTATATTCCTGTTCAAGTTTGAAAATAAAAGTTTAAAAATAAAAGTTTGAAAACAAAAGTTTGAAAATAAAAGTTAAAAAATAAAAGTTTAAAAATAAAAGTTTGAAAATAAAAGTTTAAAAATAAAAGTTTAAAAATAAAAGTTTGAAAACAAAAGTTTGAAAATAAAAGTTTAAAAATAAAAGTTTAAAAATAAAAGTTTAAAAATAAAAGTTTAAAAATAAAAGTTTAAAAATAAAAGTTTGAAAATAAAAGTTTAAAAATAAAAGTTTAAAAATAAAAGTTTAAAAATAAAAGTTTAAAAATAAAAGTTTAAAAATAAAAGTTTAAAAATAAAAGTTTGAAAATAAAAGTTTAAAAATAAAAGTTTAAAAATAAAAGTTTGAAAATAAAAGTTTGAAAATAAAAGTTTGAAAATAAAAGTTTGAAGTTCGTTCGTAGTCAGGAAAAAAGCCCGCGAACACCGCCTTCTACGCAGGCTGATATTTACATTTCAAAAACGTATTAAATTTGTGTGGAAAACACAAAGAAAAATCATAACATAAGCGTGTCGTTTACATGTGATAGGGATTTCCCTTGATTTACATAAACTTTAACTTTGATTTTCTCGACTTACACAACGTATTTTTTGAAAATTACTTCGCCAATGACCGTAGTATAGAGCGATCGTTTTTGAAGCAATTTAAAATACAGTGCCGATGTCTTCTTTATTATCAGACCTAAAGAGTAAAGATATTCGGCTTCGCCTCCTATTTTATATCTGATAAAACACTGCTGATCATGTATTAAATAGTACTAAAAAACTCATTTAGATAAACTTTAAGTTAAATTTTCTCACCAAATATCATTCATTGAATATTTAAAATTGTTGAAGAATACGAATGTTCTCAAACGTTTGATCACAAGCCATACGAAGTATCGCGTACATGTTGTGACATTGTTGTCCCAGACATACACGTACCTCTTGTCTTTGGCTCAAGTTTGTACATTTGATACAACACGGCCGCTCATGCTTTATCTAGATTGTCGACATAAAATTTACATCCGCAGTGCGTGTTTTATCAGACTTATAAAAGATACTCGGCTTCGCCATGCATGTCAAGTCCGCGTAATGTAAATAAATCCTTCGACGCTTTGTTTATATTTTGGACTGCTATATATTTGTAAAATAAGACATACTATTAACTAAATATCTAACAGTTTTCTGGTTCGCTATTGTAAATGAATATAAACTAGAGCACGTTTCAATTCAAAACAGTTCGAAAAATGCAAAATTTGGGCAATATTTATTTCTGTGGGTCGCCCTTTGTTATGAACAGAACTGATGTGCAGAACGAACTTGACAAGGTCTTTAACCATTAAAAAAATCCAAATATATATCAAAATCAAAAAATCAAAATCAAAAATACAAAAATCAAAAAATCAAAAAATACAAAAATCTAAAAATACAAAAACTGTTTTTTGCTGTCGCGTCTGGCCGCCGTAATAACTTCATGCTTGTGCTAAAAACAAATTGACATATCTTTGTTTTTATGGTTCGCGATTTTCTGGCTATGCATGCATGACTATGAATATTATATGATAGCCAGATAGGAGTATAGTACTCCTCTGCATTTTGAGAAACTAAGCCAGCGTGTTAAATTAGTCAACTTAAGTCTTAACGCTTATAATTAATCGTTATAATTAGCCGTCCACATTCTTGAGAAGCTTTAGACTATTGTGATTGTGTTCACAACGAACAATAGAAAAGACAATGTCTTTCTCATCATTTGCGTTTGCTGAATATTAATGATATGTATATATTAATTGCCACGAATACAGTCAAAAATTGCTTGTATTTCGCTTCTAAAGTCAAAAATGAAAAATCGAACACCGTCAATCGATGCGGAATATTGCTTAGAATAATTATGTCAAGTTTCATTCCGATCGGACAAGTAATGACGGAGCCTTAGGGTTTTTTCAAAGAGCGTCGCCCCCTAACAACAACAACAACAACAACAACAACAACAACAACAACAACAACAGCAACAGCAACAGCAACAGCAGCAGCAGCAGCAGCAACAGCAACAGCAACAGCAACAGCAACAACAACAACAACAACAACAACAACAGCAACAACAACAACAACAACAACAACAACAACAACAACAACAACAACAACAACAACAACAACAACAACAACAACAACAACAACAACATTAGCAGCGATTGGTGACCAGTTCCTGGTCCAAAAATGTTAAAAAATTGAAAAATTAAAAATATCGTGTTGTCATGGCAACACTTTACGAGGCTGCGTTCAAGTATTGGCCATTTCCAAATACTTCATGTTTATTCGATGTTTGGAAAATATATAGGCGAGGGGTTGCTGCATGCATGCATTTCTAGTTAGAATGCATTTTCAAATCCCAGAAGCACATGCAAAAAGTAGCACAGACATTGAAATGCTAGAAAGCAGCAGAATTATGCAAATTATAGTGTTTCCAGGTTTTTTGATACACGCTCTTAATTAAAACTCTTAAGGCAACAAAAACCACACGGTGAAATTTAAAGAAGAAACATGGAAATAGATTAATATCCTGATATCTGATGTTTGTGATGTTACTCTGAGTCCATGTATAGCCACACCGGGCGAGCTTGAAAAATACGCCCGGCCACGGTGGGAATCGAACCTACGATCATTGCAATACTAGCCCAATGCTCTGCCAACTGAGCTGGCTGCGCGGTCAGGAACAGAATCTAGTTCCTTCGTAATACCAATGTAATCTAGTAGTACGATTTTTCTGTATTGGTGTAGTGTACTCAGGTGAATATGTTTGTGATGTTACTCAGAGTAACATCACAATTAAACATCATATTCACCTGAGTACATAATTTTTTCTTTTTAAACTATATAACAATGAATTTCCGAAATATATACTGTAGGTGTGTTGTTCTGGATTTTGTGAACTTTGATTTAATGTAAAATTTAACCTGAATCGCTTCGTAAAATGCTTTGAAATGTTCATGTTAATAACTAAACTGCTTTGGCCGATAAACTGTTTTTATTTCAAATTGTTGAGTAATTTCAGTTAGGTCTTCAAATTAATTTGCTCTCCTCTATATTTAGCTTTTTTTCTTAAATTAAGCAGGGTAATTTAGGAAACTTACTGCTTCATTGAAAAGAAAAACAGCAGTGCATGTTTTACGCAATAAATTATTAAAGCAACAAATTTCATAAATGTTAAAATTTAAAGCAAACTTGCCCTATATTTCACGATTTTCCATAGTAAATGAATTCATCTCATTTTTTCAAACAAAAATTGCTTCAAAGCTTATTGTGGGAAAGGTAATTTTCCAAATATATGCTTTTGAAAATTGAAATCTTGCTTTAATATCCTCAGTGTGCTTATCCCACTCCTGGCAAACAGCAATATTTTTGAGATCAGTGAGGAGGTTCACCCTTGGATCATAGCCATGCACCCACGATATTTGATGAACTTTACACTTCGCTAGTGCGTTCCTTTACCCGGGTGTAAATAGTCGGGCGGAATTAGTACCCTCGCCCCAGGCTAACGCCCGGAACGGCGCTCCGCGCCGTTGGCTCGGGGATAAAAATTAAACATTGATTTTCATTTTCAAAGTTTTATAGGTTGTAATTGTGCGTATTGAAATCTGAATGTGTACATGTATGAATAAAGGTATTGGCGGATTAACTGAATGAAAATACACTTAAGATTACAAGACACGTTGAGAGGGTTAAACAATCTGTATTCCTAAATCCGAGATCATTTATGCAATAAACACTAAGTATTTTCGCTCGAAATGCGGGCATGTGTTCACGGCGAAGAAGTCGTCAGCCCTTGGTTTCAAATATCAGGGTGCTCATGATAGCAAGCTGCGTTTTGCGGCGTTTTGTCAGTTGTTTGTCGAAATATCAAGTTGCGGTGGTAGAATCTAAAACTTTGGCATGGTGATTGTCAAATTGTTTCATTTAACCAATTACTAAATAGCACGATTGGCCTTACTATTATGTTACTATACCATGTTTATAATCGAATACAATTGAAGACGGTTACCATGAGAATAATCAGTTTTTCAGGTGTCACTTAGTTCTCATTACGAGGACATGAGCGCTGTATTTGCTGTGATAATCGAAAAACCCGGCCGGAAACTTAAGCTTATCGCATTCGTTCCTGCGTGATGAATTTTCAGCCAAAACGCTCGATTCTAAAACCTTTGTTAAGCTTGTGTTTACCAAATTTTCTTCACATCTTCACAGAAGACGCACGAGGACGAGGGCCAAAAGCGTGTGTAGTTCCCATATGATTTCATTTTCATTTTTCATTTACAATTCATTGCTCTTCATACACAGAGGAATTTAGTTAGAACGAAGGTTTAGAAAGAAAGTTTTATATCACGAAAAGAAGACCTACAGCACACGCTTTTGTAGATGCATCTTTTGACTTTTCAAAAAGCTTAGTTTGGGGGAATTTCATTAATAGTTATTAAGTACTGTAAGTGCGTTTTTCCTTCGTCCGCAAATAAACGAAACCTTAATAAATAGTGAAATACTATTTAGGACCCAATTACTGATTGTACTGGCTCGGCTAACTGGTCAAAATTTGAGCTACATTGGTTGAAAACACAAGCCGCTATTTCAATTTTTGTGAATAACATGCGCAAGGCGATCTCGTAAACTTGTTTCTAATTAATTGAACACACGAATAATGTCAACAGTATATTACATGCGACTCTATTATTAAAACTACTAATAAGTATCCATCTGCAGGTGATTGTATAAAAATTAAGCACAGGACTTAATTGCGAAAGCCCATACTATGAATCTAAATAATTCATGTAACATTATGAGTATAACAAGCAGCCAGTGTCCATTTAATTATGACAAAAAATCGTAACATGTCAAATGATTCGCATTAGAAACTGCGAAATAAAACGTACTAAAAAGAATTATTGAGAAAATTGCAAGAAGTCGATCATATTATGAGACAAACTAAATAATTGTAGTAGATATTCAGCGAGTACGGAGCGTCATGATATTCATATTAATTAATGAAAAATATGTGAAAACACCGCTCGCAATTCATTTTAAATATACCGTGCTAAAATTAAGTGCCGCATGTAATTACAAATGCTAAAAAGTTGATGATATGTGAGAAATCCTGACATTCGAGCCATGTTTCATTGAGTATGGACGAAAATAAAGTTCATGCAATACCTGACAACGACAACGAAAATAATGGGAAAGAAAAACAAATGAGCGTGCGATCAATTATTTCAGATTACGGAGAGCGAACGACATTTCACGGTCTTCGCTATCTAATCCTCGGTGGAAGTTTTATAAGGCAACTCATTTGGTTTGGTTTTATTTCATCTTCTTTAGTTTATTCTACTTTTAACGGTGTTAAACTCTTTAAAAATTTCCTCAGCTACCCAACAATGACAAAGAATGAAATCATCACCAATCAAAGGATGTTGTTTCCAGCTATAACGGTATGTAATTACAACCTATTAAGAAAAAGCAAGCAACAGGAAGTAAATACATTTGTGAAAAGCGTATTCTCAAGTGAAGAGGGACATAGTAACTTCAAAAATGAACGTGATGTGGATATTGACAAAATGTATCATATGTTTGGCCATCGTATGGATGAAGATGGGATGTTTGTTAGCTGTAAGTGGAGAGGAAAGTCTTGCAGTGGAAAAGATTTCAGGTCAAGTGCACAAAGTATGGGGCTCTGTCACACATTCAACTCAGGTAAAAATTGCGTTATAACAAGACACGTTTTGACGTCATGTGGAATATACAGGGCGTACAAAAACAAAGTGCTCGATTCAAATGTTAATTTGAAACAACTAACTAAGTGACTGTAAATTTCCGATGCAATACAAACTTCCCAAATATGCTAGAGGCATTTTTCATTGCAAAGCTCTTAAAAACCAAAGAAGTAAGTGTGGCTTTCCATGCACTATTTTAATTGATTTATTATAATGTTAAATGCGTCGTAACTCCCAGTTTAACCGTCTTTTAAAGCCTTAGGTAGTTGGTCTTTTATTTTTTAAATGGAACTGCTCATATACCCTGAAATAAAAATGCTCCATATTTAGAATTTATTATCTGCACATACATAATTTATGTATTCAAATATTTGCACTCGAGAAAGCACGAATACTACTCAGCAATTCACCTTGGTTATCATTTACGGTTCACTTACTTTCAAAACACGTACAATGGGGTTAAAACGAAATTATAGGTTCCCCTGTTCATTCACTTTTTCGTTCATTCACGTGTGTTACTTTTTCTTTGTTCGAAATCATATCCGTTTGTATTTATTCAAAAATAGTGTGCCTTTGCGCTTGTAGTACACTTGTTTTGTGCATGCTGCAGCATACCGGACCGTATAGCACCATATCCGGTTTCAAAACAATTGTCAATATAATTTATAAACTCAATAGAATATGGAACCGCGAAACCACATACCTACCAACCTAACTAAAAATTTCATCCCAGTTGACAGAGATCTCACCAGGCGCAAAGTAATAACCCTCCAAACCTGTCTCTCACAAGATGGACAATGATTTTCATATCAATTAAAATAACGACGTGCTGATCTCGCACAGACGATTAGTTGGGCTCATCTATTTATCTCACACATAGCGTATTAGCGCCTGTCGTATTGGCTACGAGGAGGTGCGTTCAATCTCGAACCCACCTGCTGACGCTTGTTTAGGAGGGCGGTTCGAAATCGATGTCTTTGACGGCGGCCATTATGAAGCGATTTGAACAAATTTCAGACGAAGATTTAAATAAAACTAAACTCATGTCAATGTTTTTGCCGAATGTGTGCAAGTTTTTTTGTTTGCGTTAGTATCTTGGCGGCTAAAATGTTCGTTATCCAAACGAGACATTATAAATTAAAATAAAATTCGTAAATTCTTCAATACTTTTTACCAAAATGGCATGTGATAAAAGCAAACATACTTACAGGTTTGGAGAGTCCGAGATTGGATTGCGTCCGATCTCAGACCATCGCCTCTCTGCAGGTAAGTTTGTTATAGAACAGGAGTGGCCCTTACAATATGTATTACACATGTAACTGTTGTTCTCATTTGACCAGGAAATGAGTGGAGAAAACCTGCACCGGTAGCTAGAACCTCACGCTTGCCTATACTCGAATCGAATATCATCTTCCTTTTACCATGGCTAAAAAGGTCTTATCATGTTTTTTACAAGATATAAATACATGATCCTGTTTCGTTGCAAGATAAACTAAACAAGCCTTGCAACAAAATATTTTATAATTCTGTAACAGGTTACGAAAACTACCGATTGCAATATCTTAGTAGTCCTGGGGAGACGAATGGTTTGCTGCTGACACTCAATGTCCAAACCTATGACTATCGGTCAAATGCGAAAGGTATTGGTATAAAAGTCCTAATTCATGATCAGAATGATCCGATATTTATTAAGGAAAGTGGTTTCGCAGTCATGCCTGGAAGGAAAGCTTTAGTTTCTGTCATAAAAAAACAGGTTTGTTGAATTTATGCATTGCTACGATATCAAAATTAATTTTGATTAATTTAAATGGCAATGTAAAAAGTAACTTTAGAGACTGAAAATCCCATTACAAAATATGACATAGATATTTAGTAGTTTTGTTTGTGGAAACACCACGTAAATTTATTTTTTTTGTGTGTGTATTTTATCGCTATGCAATCATACAAAGAACTTATGACATAGATATTCTTGAGCTTTTAGGACAATCAGGGAGATTACGTCATTTAGTTTTGAATGTTCAAGTAACGTTTTTAATCCGAATTTTGAACTTTAGGGTTTCAACACAATTCCTCGTCAATTCTTCCATTTGGGATAGGAAATTCCACAATACTAGTACTGAGACAATACTTGACAGTGATATCTATTATATTTTGCTACACTTTTGCTAGGGGTACAAGGCAAATTGCCTTCTCACCACACAGCACCTTTAGCAGTCCATTAGTTTAATATGTACTACCCATATGTACCGCTCATTTTTCACGAATGAAAAAAGGCCTATAATGTAAGTTTTTCTATTATCCTACATTTTTCGCGACCACGTACAAAAACGGTTAAAAATGAAGGAACATTTAGGGGATAGTCTTTAGTGTCTTCCATTTTATATACCCTTTCACGAATAAAAAATTGGTTAAAAATGGACGAAAATATAAGGCATAGCCTTTCCCCAAAATAAAGGGGAAAATTTAATGAGTTAGCCTTTAATTTTTGGCAATTTTTTGTACAGATGATCAAAATGGTTAAAATGGACGGCTTAGGCACATACTTGACCGAGTATTCCATGTGAGCTTGCTTCCCAAAATCCAAAGAAATGAGAAGCGCCTGTGCACGAAAACTTTAATTCATTTTCTTAAACCAGCCCTGAATTCTCACTTTGGAGGAATTTCCTATGTTAGCAGTCTGTCGACTGACGTTTTGGAGTACAAGAAAACGTCATCCATGGCCAGTTTCTAGTATACACACAGCTACTAATTAGTGTTGTTTTCTTTCAATAACAGGTGGTAACCTCACCTCCGCCTCATGGAACACCTTGCAGGAGAAGTGACACAAATGTAAAGTATTCAAAGACACTTTGTATGAGTGACTGTAAGGAGGAATATATTGTCGCAAATTGCAAATGTCAGATGCTCCACCAAAGAGTAAGTATTTAATATCACATTTAATCTATTGTAACCCAGAAATTGCTGAATATAGCCTGCGCGCAGTCTCGCGGCATCGATCAAACGGTGTAAGAGACTGCGCAACAATGGAGCTAAACTTGTCCCGTGAAAAATTAGTGCAATTATTTAGTGCAATTATTAAGTGTAATTATTTAGAAAACATACGCATAACTATCGCTTCATTATTTCCTTTCATACAAAAGCGAAGGTGCCAATATGATCGCGCACTCAGCTGTACGAGACTGTGCGAATAATCACCGCGGAAAAACGACTGCGCATGTGCAACAACTAAAAATGGCGAATATTTTAAATTTAATTACTCAAAGCAAACACATGGCTATTCATTCACTGGATATTACAAACAAAACCTAGCAAAGCCTAGACCTTAATCATGAGCCTTCCAACATTTAAAGAAAATAAAGAAGTAAAAATTAACATAGGAAGTATTGCTGAAAGATCACACTTGTGCTTGACGAAATATTTATAATATCGCTCGTGGTTCAATTTTACACGGACAATCGATCAATCATGAGGAACATTATACTAATGTAGTCAAGCGAGTACAGCCATACGCGCCTTTGTCAATTTGGCGAGCAATAATTTGTGAAATCAATGTTCAATTCATAGCTGTGAAAAACTGTGAATAATCTTTATTTCTTCTTTACTTTATTTAAAGACTTCGTTGCAAAATAACAGCTCAGAAAATAAAAATGTTCAAGTTGTTTATTTATATTTTCAGATATTGTGTTTAATGCACGCGGGCTCGTATCCGTGTCGATTAATCTTTAATCGGCACGGTTTTTATGTTACAGTCACTTCTGCGCATGCGCGGGCTTTGTTTACGATTAATTATATGAGATGAAGTATATGATGAGTTCAAAACACGTCAAAGTAATATTCCACATGCAAGAAAATACATGCATGCAGAAACCCCTCGCCTTGCTGACAAAACCATTTGATATTCCGAACATGAAGTATTTAAAGTAGTTGTCATGGTAACACGTTTTGTTAAGAATATTTTTACAAATGAAAAATCCCCTAAGAATATCACTTTTAATTACTACATTTTCAATTAATATGTTAAGTATATTATTATACGTAATATATGTTTCAATTTAAGGTAAAATTCAACCTCAAACGCTTCGCAAGACGTTTTAAAATGTTCTTTATAAAACTAAACTGCCCGCTTTATTGAAAAACTTTGTTTTTGAAATATAATGATTTCATATTCTCGCAATCAAACAAATTTGTTTTCTTTTTTAAGATAATAAAAAAGGTTAATCAATAAAGAAACACTGAATTATACGCTGTCTTTTTCATTTATGATATACCGCCAACGATCAGCTTCAAAGCCGTTATAAAGTGAACAATATATACAATATATACGGTGCCTATACTCCCTTCTGTTAGTAATTCTTTCGCCTTTATTTTTTAAAAAGCTTTTGAAATTGAAAAAATGGAATACATTTGCAAGAAATCATCAATCATCAAATCAAGAAATGTTTGCTATTTCGCTGCCGTCTATGGAAAGCGATTTGGTGCAAAATTAAAGTATTAAAATTCTACCAGTTTCAACAAACGCCGATGAACATCAACCACCTTTTTATAATACATTCAACAAACCGATTCAACGTCAACATTAATTCCATTCCAATTGCAAATTCAACTATTCAAAAAGCCTTCTATATCAACACCGATTTTTGTTTCACAACCAAGACGAATCTCCTGCCTCAGAAGCAACAGCCGTATATTTAGCAGTTCAAGATCAACCTTAAAATTTGTATCAGATTCAAGCAAGCAAAATTTCAATCAACAAAACCCAAAACGCTGTCAACAAAACCCGAAACGCTGTCAACAAACCCAGTGTTTCCACTCCCAAAAACTAATTTCCATCTCCATAACCCGAAATTTCCTTTTTTCCCGAATTGTTTCGCAAAATTTTCTTCCAAAATTTTCCTTTCAAAATTTTTGTCAAAATTTACAGATTTACCTGGTAATTAACATCAAGATTCTAGTATTGAAACACATTATATTAATTTATAGTAGATAACTCTGTATTTTGCAGGTTAATACCAGCTCATCTTTGTCATCCTCTAATATATGTCCTCCAATGGAATTTCCCTCCCATTAAATTTACTCTTCCCTCTGAAAAATTCCATGTGAGAATTTCTCTTCCCCTTGGAATTCCAGAGCCTGGAACCCCTTCTCCGGAAATTCCAGAGTTCATGTACCCCCTCACCTGGAAATTCCAAGGTTAATGTACCCCCTCCCCTGTAAGTTTGAAAGTTAATGCACCTCTCCCCTGGAAATTCCAAGGTTTCTCAACAGGGGGGTGCGAATAAAAATTGATGTGGTTGCCGTATCATGTTTCAGTTATGTTAATCACGCTTTGAATTACCCTTGGTTTCGGGTCAGTGCACATGTTACAAATGTGGCTTTGATATTCGCCGGGGTTTAAATACTTTTTAAAACAGGAAATTCAACAAAATGTAGAGCATCGTATCGAATTCAGTGAAGGTTATTCTTTCTATTGATAGTCCAAAACACAAATAACCCCCTCGAACTGACGGTTTATCGTGGTTTGAAAATGGGGTATATTTCGGGGCTATAAAAGAAATGGCATTGATATACGCCGGGGGTTAAATAGTTTATATATAGGGAAATTCAGCAAAATTCACATCATTGAATTCGGGGAGGGTCCAGTTCTAGTTGATACTTTAAAACATTAATAATCTCCTCCAACCGACAAGTTTTCCCGGTTTGAAAATGGGGTATATTTCAAAATCTAGGGGGTTGGATGATTACAGACCAAAATCCAGGGAACCCCTGGAAAATGGCTTTAATTGCAGATATCTAGCAATGTTCCTAGGAAATTCCAGGGAGGGGGTATATAAACTGAATTCTAGGGGGTCACAATTTAGCTGGTAAAAAGATGTTCTCAAACCGGCCTGTGCGGAAAATAAATGCAATCTGTCAATCGTTGTTTGAAAATGGGGCATTTTTGCTTTTGTTGTCGCCAATCGCGGCAAAAGAGGACTCTACAGGACATATGGCGCGAACGCGACGTAAACAAACCAACTTTTCTAACGTATTGTTCCTGATTGTAAAGTTTATTGCAGCAAAAATTGAATCTATTAATCGTTGTGGCGCCCGTCTTACTCGGTGACCTCTTCCTGGCTCTTCTGTCTCCCTTTCGCCGCGGTTCTCCGAATGTTCTTCTCTAGTGTGGTCATTGGGTTGATTACAAACTGGTTTAGGATCCAAAGTTTGTTCTCCGTTTGAATTTGGATCGACATGAGTATCTTCGGCTCGTTGCTGTAGTCGAGGTGGTCTAGGATGGATGGGACGAATTTGATCAGCATGTCGAATTATACGCTTTCTGAAGTTACCCGCTTTCTTGAGACGATACGTATTGCCTTCGCGACTTTGAATTACTATGTAGGGGCCCGCCCAAGGTTTGTGCAGAGCGGACGCTTTTCCCTTTCTTTGTGGGGTATGAACGAGAACTTTGTCCCGAATCATATACTTGACCGCGGTTGTCGCCTCCTTCTTACTCTTCTCCATCCGTCGTTCTTTGTTTGCCGTATCCGTAGCAACGCTTTCTGCATGTGCATCTTTTAGCCTTTTCGCTAGGTCGATTGACCAGTCTTGGGGTACTTGGGCTATCGGGAGCTTTCCGCCGTTAGCCAGGGCAGTGGTCCTTGGGTGTCTGCAATATGTAAGATAAAACGGAAAGTGACCTGTTGCTGAGTGTTCTTGAATCTGATAACTAAATCTTACAAAAGGAATGTTCAGATCCCAGTCCAAATCGTCATCATTTGCTGATTTTTTGAGCATCTTCTCGATTGTCCTGTTCAACCGTTCTACTGCCCCGTTGGCTTGGGGGTACAAGGGATTTATTCTCTTCTTATCAATTCCGAGTTCTGTTGCTAAGGTCTGCATTGTAGAATTATCGAATTCTAAACCTCGGTCCGTCAGAATAGAGTCGGGTATACCATGGCGACAGAAGACTTCGTTTACTAGTGCATTAGCAACTGTTTTTTCGGATTTGTTTGGTAACGGAATCATCTCAGCAGATCTCGTGAGAAGGTCTACCACCACAAGCAAGTGACGATTACCTCTTGGTGTTGGTTGTGGCCCAATGGGTCCTTTTAGATCCATTGCGACATGTTGCCATGGTTCCTGTTGGCTGGCTTGTGAATGTCAGTTCCGTCTTGGATTTTGAAGGCGGATCTATACAAGACGCACAGACGGAACATGTTTGACAGTACTTCGCGACGTCATCGTGCATAGAGAGCCAATAATACTCTCTTTGCACCAATGTTCTGGTTTTCTGTGCAGCTATATGTCCAGATTGATCGTGCTTCGTGTGTAAAACTGTATGAATCAGGGTTTCCGGAACCACTGATTGTCTCACTGTCTTCCTGTCTGCGTAAAGTTAATATGCAGCAAACCAGCTTCATCTTCTCAACCAAGTTCTGACTGCTCGGTTGGACGGCTGTTCTCGGTTTTCATTCAAACGTAATCGTGCAATTACTTGGCTAAGAACTGGGTCGCTTGCTTGTGCCCGTTTCACTTCCTTTGTCGAACGTACGTCCTGCGATGATAGAATCGAACATGCCAGTCCTCCCTTGCATCGTCGTGACAACGCATCCGCGTGCGGGTTATATGCACCTGGCCGATAACGAATGTCGAATTCAAACTCTTCAACTTCTTCTAGCCACCGAGCGTATATACCCCTAGGATCCCTCGTGTTTCGTAACCATTGCAATCCTCGGTGGTCCGTGTACCATATAAACTTCTTCCCTAGGAGGTAATGCTTAAATTTACCCAGAGCATAAACAAAAGCAAATGCCTCCTTGTCCCTAGTGTGCCATGCAAGTTCGTTACCACTAAATGTCTTGGACAGAAAATGGACTGGACGTTTCGGTCTAGTACTATCGCGTTGTGAAAGAATACAACCAAATCCGAAATCAGAGGCGTCCGTGCTGAGCTCAAACACTTGATTCATATCAGGAAACGCTAGGATCGGTGTACTAGTTAGTGCTGTTTTCAGTTAAGTAAAGGCTCCCTCGCGTTCATCAGTCCACTGAAATTTCGTTTTCCCGGTTAATTCGTTCAGCGGTTTAGCTAGACGCTGAAGATTGGGTGCAACTTCCATGTATTAAGGCCCGGTCACACTACACAACGATAACGATACGATAAATTGTAAACACGCGATAATTGTCAAAAAAATTGTGTTAGTGTCCACACAACAACGAAAATGATAAAATTATCGTTAGACGATAACGATTACGATTTTAAAATCGCTCACCTGAGCGATTTTTTTTTTCAGTAGAACGATAACGATAAATTTTTGACCAATCAGCGCGTATACAAGTTATCGTATCGTTATCGTTGTGTAGTGTGACCTGGACTTTAGTTACACAGGCCAAGAAAACTTCTGACATCTTTTGTTGTTTTCGGTTGTGGCCAATCCAGAATTACTTTAAATTTGTCCGGATCTGGGGAAATGCCATCGACTGAAACTAAATGTCCCAAAAAGCGCAAGGTTTTTTGGCATAATGTTACTTTGGAACTTTTAATGGTTAGTCCTGCAAGCGTGAGAGACCTCTTTTAAAAGCTCCAAATGCTGGTCGAAATACCTACCACCAATAATCAAATCGTCCAAATAAATTGTTATCCCATTCCATGCTAAACCACGCATGACGTCAGACATTAACCGTGAGAAGACAGCAGGTGCATTCATCACGCCCAAGGGCGTAACCAAAAATTACCAATGTCCTGATTCAGTTGTGAACGCCGTCTTATGTCTGTCCTTGTGATCGATTTCGATCTGCCAGTATCCACTGTGCAAATCAAGTGTGCTAAACATGATCGAACCGCACAAGGAATCCAAACATTCTCGAATAGATGGCAACGGGAAGATCTCCGTTTTGGTGACATCGTTCAAGGTGTCGGCGCAAAAGCGATACGTCTCGTCCTTTTGGGGGACTAATGGAATCGGTGAGGACCAGGATGATGAAGACTTGCAAATTACGCCCCTTTCTTCCATATTCTTGATCTGCCAATCAACTTCCGGTCGTAGTGCAAGTGGGGTTCTTCGTAACTTCAAAGCAACAGGTAAATTAGTACCTGTGTTAATCTTAAATTTCGTACGATCTGTTCGACCGACTTCCGAATCGGTATTAGCAAATACATCGCGATAGTCCCGGAGGAGATTGATGACTTGACACTTTTGCTGAGATGTAAGACAACTATTATTGAGATCCACAGCCACCGGATCCACATTCACCGGGCCTGTGCGTACAGGGGCCTGACGTGTGGTAACTTCTCTTTCGCTTTCGACCTGAACCGCTGTAAGTTGGCCAATTGTGGTACCCTTATACAATTTGATTGGGGCATCGCTGTTGTTCATTGCTACGACTGGGACTTCATATATTAGGTCATGTCTCACAACAGCAGAGCCAAGTAGTATATCCTGTTGGGCCATTTTCTCTTGGTATGGGGAGAAAAGGTATCTCTGTTTAGGGATCCAAAGTCAACTGCAGCCGCTTGAACAAAACATTGTGAACGCGCAGGAATTAGCTGATCCCTATTTAATCTCACTTCTACCGACTGTCTTGGTGCACCAAACGATCATTTCTCTAGCTTAATCAAGTGTCCACCAAGCACCAAGGTTTGATTCTTCCTGTTCACACTCATACGCTCATAGTCATGTAGGACATCTAGACCTAGTATAGCGGAAACACTCAATTCTCGCACAACGAGAACCCTAACTGCAGGTTTGGTGACATGACCAATTTTGATTGTGGTAACACCTAAACAATCTAATTTGGTCAGATTTGCTGCAGCTGGAATGGATGTTGGAGGAGATAATCGCAGGTCCTGCACCCCGGGCAGTTGTGAACTAATACAGGTCACATCAGCCCCAGTATCAAACAAGCCAAATACATGCGACTGACCCTACCTTCCCCGCAACATGTAATGTGACATTTCCTTTACGTAATGATGGAGCTTTTGGTGTGGTAATGGATGTTGGTTCTTGCTCCACAGAACCAACATCTGCTAGTTTAAAGGAGATGGAGGTGAATGGCACTGATACGCATAGTGTCCCCAACCGCCACATGTAAAACATTGGATACTGCCATGGGCCACAGGTGGTCGTGTTCTGTCTTCTCCCCGAGCTTTGCAGTTTCTCCTTATGTGCCCAGATTTTTCACATTGGAAACATTTCACTTGGCAAGGTCTGTAACTCTTGCAATCTTGTCGCAAACCGGGATTGGTAGCCATGGCTGAAAGATGATGAGGTATGAGATTGGGGAAGGGGTGGAATGGTTTCTTTACAGCCCCGACATGATCCTGCCCGACAGGAACATGGCCACCTGATGCACTATCTGCCAGTGACTGAACAACCATTTTTATATCATGAATTTCACTTTGTAATGAAGACAAGGATGGCAGGTCAGTACGGCAAGGGGTAGTTTGGCCAGATTTGAACATGATTTCTTCAATTTATTTTGCTCGAAGGGCCAACTGATCAACAGGTTGTGTGGAGTGATCTAACTGGAGTTTCTGAGCTATTACACTGTTAATACCCCGCAAAAATTGTCGTTTTATAGCTACACTGACTGATCACTAAGCTCGGAGTAAGGCGCTATGGCAAATGATTCACGATAAAGACGTTCCAAATGCTTAGAATAAACTAAATATTACTCACCGTCCTTTTTTCGTCGCTGAAGGAAAAGCTCTTCGCTTCTCGACTTAGTGGGTTAAAATTCGGCCAGAAGAATCGCTTTAATTTTAGCCCAACTGCTACGGTCTGCTGTAGGTAAAGCTAAAAGTACGTCTAACTTATCGCTAGGCAAATTTAGTGCAGCTTTTGCCGCCGTTTTTTTATCATTCCATCCTTGCGAAAGCTGCGTAGAATTCGATTCTCATTATATATCCATCGGCTTATTTCTTCGTCATCTTCCAATACCAAACGCTCACGAATATCATCTGCCGTCACTGCGAAGGTTCTTTCGCTGTCAAAAGTGTAAAATAACACTTACTCGTTATAAATAACTCATATCTCGTTATAAATATCTCAAACAAAAAGCACTTCTCTAACACAACAAAACACTAGTCCCAGTCCTCTTTCCCGACCGGATGTGACATCACACTATGTACAAATACTGAAAATGCACAATAGTCACTAACTAAAATCAAGTCAACATTGCGCTAAATAGTTCGACAGACTTTGATTAATTTATAGCCAGCGACTGAGGCAAGTTGCAATTGCAAACGACCTACCATATACTCTGAATTTGAGAGTTTACAGCATCGCGTAATATAATTTACTGTTTACTGCCGAAGCCATATTTCAACGTGATATACAAATTACGAAGGAAGTAGAATAAACCTTGTCCGTGATTTCTGGCCATGTTCCTCAATTCGAAACAAGTGCGATTGAGAATGTGGCTACAGTTCCTGTCCTTCGTGGCAAAGCTAAGGGCGAAATTTTTGACCGTGCAAAAGCTGGATAAACAGTTTTTGTTCGAGCTCGTGCGCGCTATGAAGATAATTTCGGAACATGCATGCTTTATAAACAACAGAAGAGTTCAAGAGATTGACAGTGACGACACGATAAAATTGTATTCAACGTTTTTGTGTTATGAAAATGTATGTTTTGAAATTATGAACTGGAAGTATGAATTCATTGATATTACTCTCATATTGACACTAAATGATGACACTCTCATATTGACATTAAATGATGTAATATTAACTTCAACAATTCTGATCATAAGTTCTTTGAATGTTTGCATGGCGATAAAATATAATTGTTTTTGTTTGTGGAAACACCACGTAAATTTATTACTGCAGTAATAAATTTACGTGGTGTTTCCACAAACAAAAACAATTCAGTATAATTCTGATCATGTTGGTTCATTAATCCATTATGTCTCTTCTAGCCGGAGGACAATTACAGTTTGTGACATGAACAGTTGAACAATCAGGAAAGCACCATTTACATAAGAACCTATTTAGGCTAACTAAAAAACTAGGTTCTTATACGCAAGCTAGGTTTTACTATGTTGTCTATAATTTCATGTCACAAAGCAGACCATGGCAGGCTGTTCTGACAACATATATTCTGGGATGGTGCCACTCTTTGTGACACAAAGTCAGGCAATCATAGTACAATATGAACAGGCTTGTGTCTGGCACCTTAAACCCGATTCGGCGTTGTGTAGGTGGAGCTCATAAGCCGATCGAGTCATAACCCTTAGCAGGCATCTAGGAGAAAGAAAGCTCTGATTTCAAACCCCCAGACCCCATTTTTGGTATGTGAGGTATAATAAAACCTGAAGTTCTAGCCGAAACAGATTAATTCTTATTTAGGGTGTCTAAATAAAAAAATTTAGCCTGGCAGGTTCTTAAATTATAGGTTCTTATATGCAAGTTTTTACTTACAATTAGGGTGAAGAAATATACTAGTAATTATTAGTTGAGTTTGTTAACATCATATAAGTTTTTGTGATCAAAATCTTTTAAAAACTAAATGTTTAGGTGGTGTTTTTATGGAGGCTAACCAGCTCGGTCACCTGAGCAAAGTGGTTTTGCCGAGCTGATTTCATTCTGTGGCGGGCTGACTCACCAAAACAAATCATGAAACCTAAAATTCACATTTTCGCGAGAAACTGTCATGGTTATGACCCTCACAATCGTTTACAGAGACATTAATTTTTAAAGTTATAGATCAAAAATCTGTTGAGAAAGTCTTATTTACAACAATATATTTGAATTCAGCGGCTTAAGCGAGCCAGCCCACCTATTACCTAGGGGAGATCTGGGGCACTGTTTGGCCTTCACAAATTAAGCAAGATCTCGCTTAGGCGAGTCAGCCAGCCTGACTCCCATATAAACACAATACGAATATTAGTATAAATTATCTAGCAACATTAGATCTTGTCCAAGCGAGCTAACTCAGGTACCCGGGCTGGCTTTCCTTCATATAAATACCCCATTTGTATTAAATTCAAGTATTAAATTTAGAGCAACTAAAAGGCATTTAGACTGTTAAATGCTTTGATCAAAGTAAAATATACTTTGATCAGAGAAACTTTTGATGTGTTTCTATTAAGTTAGCACGAGTTGTGCATGAGCAGACAGTCATAGACAGTAAAGCACAGCCAAGTAGATTATCATTTATAACTCTGACAATAACACTATATCATAAACAGCCATTCAAAACATGTTGACTCCAAATTGCTCATTACTTTTTTATCATCATATCTTTAGGCCTTAATTATATCACGAGTTTCAGTTTATAAATAAAATAGATAGAACAGTTCGTATATAACGGTAGTGTAATAGTGTAATAAAGATAATTTTATAGTCATCAAAACCTCGATTGATGGGCTTCAACAAGCGATTTCACTGAAGGATCCACAGTGAGGGGGAATAGCTAAGTTGGGAGCAATCTTCAATCCTTCTTGGACTCTTTTCTTGAAAACCTTTAGCAGAAGCTTGAGGATGTATGTATATCATGGGGAAACGCAGGCAGAAACTCTCCATCGAGGAAAACAATAAAATAGATACACTTTGATACACTTTAGAAGCATCCCAGCTAGCGTAGTATTCTTTCCTACTCGTCAAGTTGCCTCAATAACTCGTTATTTGACGGATTATCGCTCAAAAATGCTCAAAATATTTTGGAAACTTCTTCGCTCCTTAGGTTATTAAACTCGCTTGCGATAAAAACAACGCGCGTGTTATTGGCAGAAATGAGACTGGACCGAGCATAAACCGAGATGCCAACTTCCTGTGGAGTCCCCAGGCAAAAACGATAACAGACATGCGCAGAAGGGTCTGTAACCTACCTTTAACCAAACAAAATCGAGTAAATTGACTAAAATTATATTAAATAGAAAATGTCTAGTTTGAACGGGAATGCATCAATTAAGCGCTTTGTACAAAATGATCAATTACCAAAGCTTAGACGTAAAAATAAGCAAACTCTTAAGAAGATAATCCCTTCATATCTTAAATTAATTTAATTAATTTAATTAACTTTAATAAGGTGGCGATTCACCTTTAGGCCACTTTTTTCTATTTAAAGCAGATTGATGTGGAAATATCATTTTTAGAAAGAGTTTGGTGAAAAATTAAAAAATCAGTTATGGATAAAAATTACAGTCACTAATTACACTAATTATCCACTATGGCGGCCGTTAATTAGTCCATCACTTCGCACTTGAAACATGATATCTTATTACGCCATTATGCAAATGTAATGAATGACACAATTTTAGAACGCTTAGAACCTGTTCTAGTTCCTGACACTTTTTATTTTCACCTTAAAATGTGTACGTTCTTTTTTATTTTGTCATCAATTTTGAACATTAAGGGAAATCCAATTGTTCGACAATAATTTAGGTAATTAAATTTCAATTTTTATTATTTATTAATAAGAGTGTCAAAAAATTTTACGTTAAACAGCGAAATCATCAAAATGAGAAAAAGCTGTTTTAAAGTTTTATTCTGTTTCTTCTTACTTCAGATATATTCAGAAAGCACCTGCTTTATAGGTAACACCTTCATTGCTTCCACGCTATCAATATAATTCAATGTTTTCTAAGGTGTCCCAATGTTTTCCTTCTGTTTTTCACCTTTTCTGTCCAAGTTTTCTCGCACTGATAAGCCATAGTAGTTCTATAAAATATCTATTTTGCTATCAGCTATATCTATTTTGCTATACCTTTACCAGCCAAGCCTTTTCCATCCGCCAATTTTACACCTTGGCTTTGATTCCTCAGTTTCCGAAACCGACTACCAACTCTTTTCTGGACATCTCCAATGCACTCCATTTTATTTGGTATGCATTCATCTCCATATCGCTTGTTTTCCACCATTATATTATATGTTGAGGAATCTCCATCACCGAGCATGTTCTTATACTTGAGCCCTAGCTCTTGTAGTATCTAATGACCGTTTGAAGATCCGTAACGCACCAGTTGTCTCCATGCGGTTAGCACTTCCAACATGGTTAATTTTGCAGTTCTGCGAAGTTTTCCATTCTTCATATCTTGGGTCATCTTTCTTCTTTTGCCACTTTAGACATTGCGTGCATTTGTCTGACATCACTTCTGCATCCAGACAGTTATTCGAATCTAGCGAAATCACTGTCACGACACTGCACCATTTTGAAACGCATATGCCACACTTCTGCCACGTGCCATCAATTGATATCCCGCATTCTCCAGCATCACTAGCATTCTCCTCCCTTACTTCCATAGCATTGTTCACCATGCTATCATTAGTCTATTGCTTTACCACAGGCAAAATATTTTTATTTTGAACCTTAGTAAAGATTCGACGAGCTGGCGGAGCAGGCATGTTCATAATCTTGGTGAAGGTACTCGTAGCATTGT